ATGGGTTCTGCTGGATTGTCCACATAAGAAAAATCTGCCATTGTGGCCTGGGAGCTATAAGGTAAACCTTTCACGATGACCGATTGGAGTTTGAAGTCAACATGGCTTCTGCTGTATGCTTTCTGCGATGGACGATACAGAACTCTCTTCGCGCGCGCGAAGAATTTTGCGCCGGCTGCAACAGGAACGTCGCCATCTTGACCTGGGAACGAAAGCGAACCGTTAACGGCGGCCGACGGACGCGCCCAGGTGACACTTGTCACCCGCCCAGGGAGTTCTGTATTTTCCACCGTAGAAAAGGCGCTATGCTTGCCTGGAAACGAAATCGAACTCTGACCGGCGACCGATTGGATTTTGAAGTTAGCATGGTTGCCGCTGGATTGTCCACTTTAGAAAAGTTTGCATGCGGGCCTGGGAATTAGAGTGCACCCTCACGGTGACCGACGGACGCGCGCGGGTGACGCGTGTCACCCATGCGCGCGTAGTGAGTTCTGAATCTTCCACATTTCAAGTTGCATTGTTTGCTTGGAAAAAAAGACCCGGACGGTGACCGATTGGTTTTTGAAGTTTACATTGGTTCGGCTGAATTGTGTCTTCGATGGACAATGCTGAACTCCACGCGTGCGCGCGCGTGGAGTTCAGTATTGCCCACAAAAGGTATAGTCGCCGCTCAGGCAAACTAAAGTGACCCTTCAGCGGTGACCGACTGACGCGCGCGGGTGACACGCGTCACCCGCGCGCGCGTGGGGAATGGTGTGTTGTCCACAGCTAAGACGAACACAGAAAACACCCTGTTGGCTTGGAGACTAGTGAACCCTTCGTTGTACCGATTGGACGTTCAAGTCATCGCGATTTCTGTTGCATGGCAGCTGCGAGGGACAGCACGGAACCCTTGCGGCCTTGGGCGTCGCGAAAGTCTCGGGCAGAGATCCTTCCTTTCTCGGGGCGCCCGTGGGGCGCGGAGAATTGCTCGGGTGCGTGTCCGGGCTGGCGGCCCTGCAGTGGTGGGCGATGTGCGCGGTTTGTTCCTTACGCTTCTTGCGCGGGCGTCCATTTGTTCCGCCGCGCCCTGGTCTGGCTCGCGACCGCCGCGACTCCAAATGTTGATTGGTGGCGCGTCTGTTTGCGCATTCGGCGTGCGTTTGGCGCGCCTGCGCTCTGGTTGCGCAGGGCCGTGTTCAGAGTAGGTCGACACTAGAGATGATTTGCGGCACTTTCGCGACGTCGTGACAGTCGTGCTGCATCGCCGTGCAACGGACAAGTGTTCTTCCCGTTGATCGCAGCTTTTGCGCTTGCGCGATGGCCGCTTGCGCCTGCGCGATGGCCGCGCTCGCACGGCGAAGCTCGCTCTTCTCCAGGCCGCGCGCTGCTCTGGACAAACAGCCGTTTTTTTTTTCACTCGCGCAAGCTACGCGCCAAACCCCATATGTGCGCGGATGTATTGGAAAACCCGTTGGCGGCTCCAAACATCAACATCGTCTGTGGTCCCGCGCTTTTCAAACGATGCGACCTTGCCCTATGGCAAAACAGTCCCGGCGAAAATCAGTGCCCAGCAGAATGCAGAGTGTTTTAGCGCAGCGGATGACACAACAGGCCTGGCAAAAATGATTGCCCACCGGAATTAATTCCAAACATCTCAAAACGCCAGGTCGGGACAGAATTCGCGTTCGTGTTACTTGTTTGTTTCGTGGGCAAAATATTTGAGAGCCAAGGTTGGTGCCGATGTTTGTGGGAGAAGCCCACCCTGAGCAAAACCCATGCGGCGGCGGCTGCGATGACTGCTTGGCGCTGGCTGGCGCATCGCTGCGGCCGCGCTAGCGCGCGCAGGCTCGCGCGAAGAGCGGCCAGCTAGTTTGGCGACCCCGACGCGGCCGCGGTGGCGCTGACCGCTGGGGCCCCCCAGCGCGTCTCGCAGGCCGCGCTGACGCGCGGGCATTTCAGTGCGAGTCGGTGACTCGGGCGGGCGCGGTATCATCGCGACGTCGACAACGGCAGAGACGATGATGATAGTAGTGGTGATGATGACGATGACGGCGATGACGACGGCAAGGCCAACGACGGCGCCGATGCCTGTCACGCCGACGACGATGATGGTGGCGTTCACGCGTCGGTGATGAAAGCGCTGGAAGGATTTCCACATGCGCGCGCGGCCGACGGGTGCGATTGGCCCGCGCGGCTGTACTTGACGCGGATCGCTGCCCCCCAGCACGCGCGGAAAAGGCGTTCGAATGATTCAGACATGCTCGCGCGAGAGGCTCGCTTGGTCGCCATTCACGAAAGTCGCGATCAACTCTTGGCTTTTTGTTTTGCGAGAATTTGCAAGATCTCGCGCGCACGTGTTTTGACAAATCATGGAGCACAGGATTTGTTCAATGCTCTCGGGAAGCTCGACATTGAAATCTCGACGAACCCCGAGGATTTGGGAACGAATCGACATGCGCGCGATGACGTGCCCGCGCCGCTTGTGTTTCTTTTGTTGCCATGGGTTTTCGGAACGCAATTCAGATTGCGTTCTGTGGACGCTTGTTGCGGGGAGGGGTCCCGGAACTGGTCGTCCTCCCCGGTTCGAGGAGGCGGGTTCGAGCCCCCCCCAGGCTTGTGCCAGCGCCGGCGTGGGCCTGGGCTTGGGCCAGGGCCTGGGCCTGGGCGCGGGGGTGGGCGTGGGCGTGGGCGCGGGCGTGGGGGTGGGCGTGGGCGCGGGGGTGGGCGTGGGCGTGGGCGCGGACCTGGGCGTAGGTGTGGGCGTGGGCGTGGGCGCGGGTGTGGGCGTGGGCGTGGGCGCTGGCACGGGCGTGGGCGTGGGCGTGCGCGTGCGCGTGGGCGTGGGCATTGGCGTGGGCGCGGGTGTGGGCGTGGGCGTTGGCGTGCGTGTGAGCGTCGGCGTGGGCGTCGGCGCGGGCGTGGGCGTGGGCGTGGGCGTGGGCGTGGGCGTCGTGGGCGTGGGCGCGCGCGCGCGCGCGCGCGCGCGCGTTTGTGTGTGTGTGGTGTGTGTGGTGTGTGTGTGTGTGTGTGTGTGTGTGGTGGTGTGTGTGCGTGTGTGTATTGTGGTGTGTGTGTGTGGTGCTGGGCGTGCGTGTTGGCGAGGGCGTGGGCGCTGGTGTGGGCGTGGGCGTGCGTGTGATCGTTGGCGTGGGCGTGGGCGCGGGCGTGGGCGTGGGCGTGGGCGTGGGTGTGGGCGTACGCGTGAGCGCGGGTGTACGCGTGGGTGTACGCGTGGGTGTGGGCGTAGGTGTTGGCATGGTGTGGGTGTGGGTTTTGGCCTGGGCCTGGGCCTGGGCCTGGGCGTGGGCGCTGGAGTGGGGACGGTCGTGGGCGCGGGTGTGGGCGTGGGCGTGGGCGTGGATGTGGGATGTGGGCGTGCGCGCGGGCGTGGGCGTGGGTGTGGATGTGGGCGTGGGCGTGGGCGCGGGCGTGGGCGTGGGCGTGCGTGTGAACGTTGGCGCTGGCGTGGGCGCGGGCGTGGGCGTGGGCCTCGGCGTATGTGTGGGCGTGCGCGGTGGGCATGGGTGTGGGGGTGGGCGTGGGTGTGGGCGTCGGCGCTGCCAGCCACCGGCGCCGGCGCGTCGGGGCTGGCGTTGGGAGGGGGGGGGAGGAGGTTTCGAACGCCCCACCCGCCTGGAGAAGAGGGGGGGTTTCGGGAAGGGGGGGGGAGGGGGAGGGGGGAGGGGAGTCCCCCTGGTTCTGTTCGACGGCGCCGAGTGTTGGGGGGGACGCCCTCCTCCCCAGTCCAAGCGCGCCGCCGAATGTTCCCAAAGCAAGCGCCCCTGAAACGCGCTCCCTCAAACAAAATGATGATGCTTGATAAGCGAATGCGCGCGCACAGTATTGCTTGACAGGGATGGCGGGGTGTGGGTGGCGATAGTGGCACTCCTTGGGATAACACTATGTTTTGTTAAAAAAGAACCATGGGTATATGAATTGTACTATTCCAGGTGGTGTCGATGAAGCCACGACGGTAGATCTTGGAGATCAGAGAATCGTTGTGGCGCAAAACAATGCCAAACAATGCAGGCAGGCCCAGACGACGAGCGGCGACGGGGCGGCGACGGCGACGACATAGCCGCCAGACCGCCACCCAGGCCCAGACGACGGGCGGCGACGAAGTGGCAACGGGGCGGCGACGGGGCGGCGACGGCGACAACATAGCGGCCAGACCGCCACCCAGGCCCAGACGACAGGCGGCGACGAGGTTGCGACGGGGCGGCGACGGCGACAACATAGCCGCCACAGCGCCACCCAGGCCCACTTCGTGAGAACAGAAGCGAGAACCCCCAAGTGCAAGCATTGTTTGGGGAAAAAGGCCTTTGTGGGCCCGTCCCGCGGGCCTCTCGGTGGCTTCCTTGGGCGCTTTCGGTAGCCTCTTCGGGGAGTCTTGGGCCCTCAGGAGCTGTTTGGGCGCATCCTGGGATCCATCGGGGGTTCACTTGAGCCGTCTGGTCGCCTTCTTGGACTGTTTTGGGGTTCTCTTGGGGCATTTGAGGCATCTTCAGTGGCTTCTAGGGCCGTCTTGGGACCTCGGGGCCTCCCTGGCCCGTCTTGGGGCCTCCTTCGGATGCCAGCTTCACCGTCGCACGGCCGTCTCGGGGCCTCTGGACTCACGCCGGGGGCCGTCGGGACACCAGCTGGTGCCATCTGTGGCCGTCTTGGAGTCCCGTGGACGAGCTGGGACGCCCAGACCCCCCCCCTGCCCACCCCGAGCAAAACCAACATTGTGCGGCGACGACCTCCCGGGAAGGGCGGGGAGGGGGGGAGCGTCCTGGGGAGGGGCAAGGACCTCGCAGGCCGATGGGCTCCAAGGTTAGGTCGGGCATGTCCCCCCACAGGCGGATTTTGTGCGAAAAATGCGTACATTCCGAGCATAGTCAAAAACAGCCAAGAATATTCAACAAATCGTCCCCTGACTAGTTTTGTGACTGTTTTGAAGTCTCCATCCAATAGAGGGACGGGCCCGACTTCAGGTTTGGGGAGGGGCAAAGACCTCGCAGGCCGATGGCCCCCAGGGGGGCTCGCGTGTCGACTGCCTCTGCAGCGTCTGGTCCCAGCTGCCTACCAAGAAGAAGACGTCGAGGCAGGCGCAGACCTTTGTGGAGCTGCTGCCGCAGCTGCAGGAGTCACCCTGCTTGATGGGCCTGCTTTCCACCACAACCACCATAACCGCATGCCGATGATAATAAAGTATCCCCCCCCCTTAAGTCGTTAGAGTTTTTTATCGTCGACCAATAAGAGTTTGGTCGGGGGCGCGGGGGCGCGGAGGCCGAACTTCATTATCACGGGAAAAGTTCGCCATCGAAGTTACTTCCTTCTTATGTTGAGATAACAACATCAAGCGAAGCGAACACGTTGTTTCAGGATGTCTCAAGCGAAACCCATGTCCTTCTGTCTCTTTGTAGTTCTTTCTGTCTCTCTTTCTTTCTTTCTCTGTCTCTCTTTCTCTCTCTCTCTCTGTCTCTCTATCTCTGTCTCCTTCCTGGCCTCTCTGTCTCTCTCTCTCTCTGTCTCTCTATCTCTTTCTCCTCCTCCTCCCCCTGGCGCCCTGAACTTGTTTATCGCTGGGGTTGATTATCCAGGGAATTGTAAAAATTGGAAATACAAATTTAATACATTTGAATCTTCAGTTTTTTTGTTTTATCCTCATTTCCTCTTCTCTTTATCATTTTCATTTATTATTCTACTTTTCTTTTTAAATATATCTTCTCTCTTTAAGTCCTTCCTTTATTTTTCTTTATGATGTATCTCTCTCTCTCTCTCTCTCTCCATGACCCCCCCCCTCTGAACTTTTTTATCCCTGGGGTTGATTATCCATGGAAAATGAAGCACATGAGCTACCCTACACGAGCACTTAAAAATTTTAATTTTCATAAAGCGCTTGTAAATAAAATCTAATACATTTGAACTTGAGATTTTTCCGTCTCTTTCTCCTCCTCCTCTGTTTTCTTTTCTTTTTGATTTTTGTCCTTTTTCTGTTTCATTTCTTATTGTTTCTTTTTATTTTTGTTTTTGTATATCGCTTTCTCCATTCCTCCGCCCGCCTGAACTTTATTATCGCCGCGGTTGATTATCCAGGGACACCGAGGCGGATGAGCTATTCCGAGGATGTCTCAAGCGAAACAAGCATATACTCGAGGATGTCTCAAGCGAAACAAGCATATACTGAAGGATGTCTCAAGCGAAACGATACGTTTCTTAAGCGAAATAAGCAATAGTTGACGGTGTCTCAAGCGAAATAAGCAATAGTTTGTGGATGTCTCAAGCGAAACAAGGGATTTGTCGAGGATGTCTCCAGCAAGATAAGCCATTGTTGAGGATATTTCTATGAAGACTAACGCCAAGGATGTCTCAAAACGTGCTCGGCTTGGTCTCCTCTTGATCATCTCTTACTTCGAGATTATGCTGAGGTCTGGTGGGCTACTTTGATTATCTCCCCCTGAACCCAGAACTTTATTATCCCCTGGTGTTTATTCTCACGGGTTAGCGGTTAATGGAGGGGGAAGGAGGTGCAGGACGAGGAGGACAAGGAGGAGGAGGAGGAGGAGGAGGAGGGCCCCCTCCCCTCCTCATTATGGTGGTGGTGGTGGTGGTGGTGGAAAACAGGCCCATCATTGCTGCCGCAGCTGCAGGAGTCACTTTGTCATGGCGCCCACATTGCAGATCCGATTTCGCTCGGAAAACGACAGGGTGGGCCCAGGGTGTCCCGGAGAATTTCGCTCCGGATTTCGAAGTGAATTTCGGGCGGGTTTTTGTTGGCCAGGAACGAAGACAAAAAATAATCCACGCGAAATTCACTTCGTTTTTCGCTCGCCGCTTCGGGCAAAGATCCACGCAGGAGTCCACGCAGAAATCCGCTGCAGCACGTCTGCAAGGCCGGTGCAATGACACTTTGCTTCTTCGGGGGGCCTTTCCTGTCCTGTAAATGGCTGTCTTTGCCTGTGCTCGGACGTGGGCTCGATGCGGATTCGGCACGGATTCGGCACTGATTCGACGCGTTGGACATGGATTCGACATGGATGCGACACGGATGGCTGGTGCGATGGGACAGACGAGGCCCCCCGAATTTTGCAACATAACAGGAGAATCGCGCGGCGGACCTCCCAAAGCAAGTGGACGCGTTCTGGAAGATCGTCGCCGACGTCGGCCGAGCTGGGCGGAAGGAGCTGCTCGTCGGCCAGGAGGCCAGCCCTTCCTGCACCAAGACGCTGAAGTCCTTTGCGAAGAGCCTGCCTCCTCCCCTGGCTGTCGAGCAGTTCTTCCGCATCCTGGAGGAGTTCGATGCCGACATTCCTCCATCTCCTCCCCCCCCTCTCCCTCCTCCTCCTCCTCCTCCTCCTCCTCCTCCTCCTCCTCCTCCTCCTCCTCCTCCTCCAGCAGCCGCGGTTCCGGCTTCAACAACGGGGCGGCTTTGAACACATGACCGTCAGGTTCCCCTTGCTGAACCGTCGGCCAGCGGGCGTCACTGGGAGATGAGACAGGTGCCATGAGCCGCCTGGGTTGTTTCTTCCTCGCGCTGATGCCTCTCAGGCGTACCCATCAGAGTACCGTTGGTCCTTCATGGAAGTTTGTGCAATACAATACCTTGGCGTGTACACGTGCAGATCGTATCGACGACATTAGCACGACCTTCGCGGTTGTTGAGGCGGTGGCGATCACGGGCACCCAGCTGAAGGCCATTGAGCTTCAGCGTCGACGTTTGCATTGCCGTTTCTTGATTGAAGTTGGGCGGAAGCGTGAGCCCAACTCCAACAAGGCTTGCGGGGTGTCCGTGTTGTTGCATCAGCGTTTTCAAAATGAACATGTTGGTGCGGCTCGCAGTGCAAAAAGCTTGGCTGGACGGTGTCTCGCAGCACGGGTGCGCACCTTAATGGAGGATTTCACGATTTTGGTCCAGTATTCCCCGCCCAAGGTGACACAATCAAAGAAGCAGGCGGCCTACAAGAAGACGGTGCGGGCCATGACGCAGTGGCTATCGCGCGAGCTGGCGGCTTGCCCGTCCAGGCTGGTCCCAATCGTCATATGTGACTTGAATGATGGATTGGGCTTGGAGCAGAAAGATAGTACAAAGGTGGTGTATGAGGATGTGGTGTTTTTGCCTCCCTGGAGCTGGCCGCGAGCACTTTGCTGGAGTTGCATGTCGAGAGGTGTTGCGGAGTCATCTCGTGTCATCGGTGACGACGATGTGTGGTCTTTTCAGCGAAACGTCGAAGTCCATGCTGGACTATGTGTGCGTGCCGCAGTCTAGAAGAGGGGCTGTGCGAGTGGCGGGTGCGCTCGCGTGGGCAAGGGGCGCAGGCTCCAGGTCACCAATGTCGCAGGCAGAAGAGATCACGTGCATGCTTTTTTGGAAGTAACACGCCCGTCTTTCGCACGCCAAGAGCAGCAGACCAGTTAGCAACCATCGCATCTGGGCAGTCAGAGATTGCACCCCGATGCGATGATGGCGGCCCTGAGGGGAGGGGTGGGGTTGAGGGACTTCTTGGACGGGGGGGGGGAGAGGGGAATGAAGGAGCAACAGCAGGAGCGGATGCGTTTGGCATCGCAGGACTCCCCTGGCCGCCTGTTTCGTTTCCGTTGGCAAATGTTGTACGATGTTGCGTGCCCGTTTGTTTTGCTTTTCAAAGCGTCTCAGAGCGTGCCAGGGCGAGCCGAGCTTGAGAGGACCCGTTCCAATCTGCTGCAGCGTCGCCGAGAACTTCGGGTTTCGTTGGTTGGGTAATCGTCTGAGACCATGGAGGCTGTTTCGGAGGAAGTCCGCCTGGACACCAAAACTTTAAGGAGCATGGTTCGAGAGGCCTTCAAGCAGCGTGGAGCGGAGCACATTGAGCGTCTAGGAAATTCGGGGGGGGGACAGAGAGCTCCACAAGGTTGTTCTTTCCCATGCTCGCATGGCGGCAGGAGTGCCGATCGGCCCCAAGAAGAGGAAATTGCTCCAGGTTCGCACTTCCCTGCCAACGAGAGAGGAGCAAGTGGCGTTCCTGAGCTTCAGAGCTATATCGCACCATTTATTGTACAAGTTTCCGAGCAGGCGCACGAGAATTCAACGCGTGTTCGTAAGAAGCTGCGCAGGTGAGCAAGCGGAGGGTCGCGCCCAAGTGTCTGCCCCCAGTGAGCTGCGGGACATGGCTGTGCACCCTGGGCTGGGAATCCGTGCTGAGAAGCAAGTTGGAGGGAGGAGGAGGGGCCCAGACCCGGCCAGGCCCACTTTTTCACGCGTGCGGTGCATCTATAGGATTGTGGCGAATCAGGTCGTCGTTGCACACGTCGAGAGTCTGGCGCGATGTAGTCAGGTGAGTGGTCTCAGGAAGTCAGAAGCGGCGGGCCCTGCCGGCAAGAGATGGGCACGCATGTTGCTTCCGATAGGCAGGTTTTGGTACGCCGCGCTGATGAGCAGATCGATCATGGCTCCAGATGCGCGCGGCTTCCAACCTGGCAGGAGTAAGGGGACCCCATGCTGGTTTCCGCGATGTTGGCGTGGGTAGCTCAGCGGGAGGGGCGTTCTTTCTGCAGGCAGTACCTCGATGCAACTAACGCGTTCGGGGGCATCTCACAGAGTACGTAGGCCAAAGCTGGCAGCAGCAGAGCTCTTTGATGGGGGTACTGCCCCCATGGAGCCCCAGAGGGTGGTCAGCGCCGTGTGAATTCGGGTCGTTGCGTTCGCGGCCTGGGTGTGGCGGGATGATGGGGGGCCTTCTATGGTGGCGGCTCGGGCGAGGGCTTCTCATAGGGGAGCAACAAGTGACATAGATATAAAAACTCAGAGGTCCGCGCGGATTCCTCGGATCGGCGCTGGACCCCCCTCCCTGGCGCGCGGAGCGCGCCAGGGGCGGCGCCGGAGGCGCCGCCGGGGGGCCCCAGCGCCGATCCGAGAAATCCGCGCGGACCTCCGAGTTTTTATGTCTATACCACTTTTTGTTCCCCTAACGGTGGTGCAATGCGATGGCCGCGGAGGGAGTGACGGAGGGGCAGTTGGTGGCGACGAGCCCCTTGCGATCCTTCCCCGAGCGACCTCTCGGTGCGCCGGTGCGCTGGCGACCTTGGGCTTCCCCGCGCGGGGAAGCCCACTGCTCACGCTTCTTCTCTTGCGGCGAGAGCGCGAAGGGTTTCGGATCTCCCGTCGGGGGCGCTTGCCGAAGATACACGCCAGTCGTTGAAAGTAGGTATTTCTGGATTCCCAGATCCCAATCTACTTCAAGCGCCTTCCTACTTCAAGAGTCGGCACGCTTTTGCTGTGTTTTGCTGTTCTCTGGGAGGGGATGGACCCAATCCACTTAATCCGCCGTCCTACCTCATGTGCTTACCTACTTCTTCCGATCGACGTGTAACTGCACTTAGAAAGCATCGGCCTAGGCGCCCATCCTTATTCGCGCGAAGTTCTTCTTGGTAGACTGCTGCTCCCAGGCGATGTTTGCCATCGAGTTAGACTCCTCGGTGATCAATTCGCGGCGGGCCCCAGGCCTGCCCGAGCTTTTGCTGCAAAGTTGAAGGCCCGCAAGGCGGCAGTTTTCAAAGTTTTTTACTCATTGGGGAGTTTCTGGTATTTGAAAGGGGCCCCGTTTCGGTCGAAACGCCCTATGCTTCTGTCTTCTATCGTCGGCGCGGCCGCTCAGCATTTTCGAGGCCTGTCTACCGTCTGCTCGTCAGCTTTCGGAGCTCCAGCATGTTGCAGACGCGCTGGCGAGGGGGGCTCTGCGCGGATTGGCGCGCGCCGAGGTCGATGGCACTCACGCGTCGTGGTCGAGTGAGCGCGCCAGAAAGCACTGGAGGTCGTGCTCGCTCGAGGTTGAATTCAGGGTTGGACGCCTGAAGATTGCGAGCCATCGCGAGGCGACCTGAGAGGCGCAGACACTGGATAGCGGCACTCTTCGGGGTCATGAACTGGGAGCGGGGGGAGACGACGACGGAGGACGAAAGGCTCATTGAGATCGCGAACCCGTGGGCCCGGAGGGTGCAAGAGGACTTGAAGGCCCTGCTCGTTGCGGAGGATGCGGTGTCGTTCTTGTCGGAGCTTCGCATTGCGGCTGAAACGGATCCCGCGCGTGATGCGCGCGCTCATCTTAGCGATCTATTGTGCAAGACGGAGGCGAGACAAGATTTCTTGGAAGTGGACGCGGAGCTCTCGAGGGCTCAAGATGCTCAGAAGTTGCCTGTGGATAGAGAAGGGAGGGGGACATGATAAAGGAGGAGAAGGAGATAGGCTCTGGAAGTGCTCCTTCAACTCAGAGTACATGCCAGGGAGCGTTGTTCGGCGTCGTTCGATTCGAGTAGAGCCCTGTCGGCTCATACTCAACGAGTACATCGCATGCGGATGTGCATGCTTCGATCGTGGTAACTATCCAGTGTCCGTATTGTGGGGATATTTTCTCGTGTCACCAAGCTGCTCATCGTCGTGTGATAACGAGCCGGGCTCGACCTGACAGAATGGCGAGAGTTCGGTATCTCGGCCTTGTCGTGCAGCCTGCGTCGCTTGATTGTCCGTTGTCCGAGTGTTCGCCTCAAGATTTATCACCTCGCTGTCATCTCCATCTCGTTTCTCACGCGCCACTGCACGCGCATGTCTCTCGATTGGCCGAAGTGGGCGCTCCAAGAGGCGCGGGCGGCCGGCCGGAGGGCGGGCGCAGGTGGTTGCCGACGGACCTCGGCGCCAACGTCGGGGCAGGCAGGCTCTAAGGCGCCGCTGTCGAGAGGGTGGTCGAGGTGCTGGCGGCCTTGGCGCTGGCGCAGGCCGCGGAGCTCCGAGATCTGATCGCGGCCGCGCACCTCGCCTTCCCCACCCCTCGGGGGTGGACAGAACCCCCAATAGTGACACGTCGATTAGTGAATTGTCCGTTCTCGGTTCTCGAGAGGGCGCCGTGCCCGTTATTTCCCAGGCTTGCGCCCGCCAGGTTTGGGCCTCAGGTCGTTTTCACTAAACCACGTTTTGCTAAAGGGAGGTCTGTCCATCCCCGAGGTGAAGGGGGCGGGCCGCGACTGCCACCCGCGGGCCAAGCGCGGCAAAGGAGGAGGCGCTGGAGGCCATCCTGGCGGCCGCGACATGTTTGGCCCTCTTTTTAAGCACGTCTTCAAGGCCATGATTCGGGCGGCGCGCCGCGTCGCAGGACCGTCCGAGAAGAGCCGCGCGGTCGTCGAGGGTCTCTGGAAGGAGCAGGTCCTCCAGCGGGACCTCCAGGATTTAGCCGAGCAGATTCGTCGTTGTCGTATCAAGGATACCCGCGAGAAGGAGAGTCAGGCGGAGGTGGCGCGCATCACGATTTGTCTCAGTGCCGAGTGGGCGGAATTGCAGGGGGCGGTCGTGGAGGCGCTAGAGAAAGAGCAGGGCATCCTGAAGGCGGGGCCTCCACCTCTGGGCCCTCTCGAGCGGGAGGCGTCGAAGCTGATGGAGGAGCTCGGCAAAATGTGAGACCTGTCAGGCGAGGCTTTGGCAGCGCTGAGCCCGAGGTGAGGAGAGTAGCAGCTCGGCTCGAGGCCTTTTGCTGTGAGAATGGCGGGTCTGCTTTTTTGAACGGAAGTATCATTCTTGTTTCTGCACTAACTTTCGAAAGACAGTAAGAGGGCCGTTTCAGGTCGCAAGCCGCCAGCAGAGGCAAGGGACGGGGGCAGGGTGCGGCTGAGGGTGGGCGGGGGCGGGGGGGAGTGCAATGAGGCTGGCGGCTTATGCTGTCGAGCCTACGTGCGGGCCATCCATGAGCCGTGGCGCTCACAGGCCAGTCGCTGGATTCCCATCGCAGGGCGCCTGTAGGACGTCCTTTGTTGGCGCGAGGTCGTGCCTCACCGATGCCATGGCCTGCGAAGACAGAGACACGTGGCGTCAATGGTGCTCTTATCTTATCTCATCTTCTCCTCCTCCTCCTCCTCCTCCTCCTCCTCCTCCTCCTCCTCCTCCTCCCCCTCCTCCTCCTCCTCCTCCTCCTCCTCCTCCTCCCTCATCCTGGAGGAGTTCGATGCCGCCACTCCTGCCTACCAGTTCATTCAGAGCGACATCTGCTGCTGCAGCCGTGATAAGCCGGACGGCGCTCACGACGCTCTCGCGCTGCGCGTCTTCGAGCGCTACCTCCAGAAGGAGGGCCTCACCTCCGTGCAGGCCACCAGCATGTTCCAAGTGCTCCTCAAGGACGCCCGGAGCAGAGACGTTGTGCAGAAGGCATTCGGACTTCTGGTGCAGAGCCTGCGCGGCAAGATGGAGCTAGGGTTGATGCAGGGGGTGGTTCAGAAGATGCACAAGCTGGAGCGCGATGCATCAGACAAGGCGACGGCCAAGCTGACGCCGCCTGCCGCACTCCCCGTCCCGGTGCACTGGGCCAACCTGGTCAAGCTGCCCGAGGGGGCGTCGTCCCACGCTCACTTCATACTGCACGTGCTGCACTCCGGCACCGCCGCCACGGAGCTCTTGGGGGCCATGCTGCAGAAGTACGGGCCCTCGAACACGAGCAAAAACAGCACAATCACACCTTCTGAATTCTAGACGCTTCGCGTATCCCCACCAGCCCGTCCAGAAATGAGCCCCAGGGGAGTGGAGGTGATGAGGGAAGCGGGGGAGCATGCAGAAGAACAAACAGCGGGTTGATCCGCCATACGCCCCCAGAGGGGGAGGATGTAGGAGGAGTCGTCGTCGTCGGAGTAGGAGGAGGAAGACGAGGAGCAGGAGGAGGAGCAGGAGGAGGAGGGGGAGGAGGAGGAGGAGGAGGAGGAGGAGGAAGATGAGGAGGAGGAGATGGAGGAGGGCGAGGACGAGGAGGACGAGAAGGAGGAGGAGGAGGAGGAGAAGGAGGAGGCGGAGGAGGGGGAGGGGGAGGAGGGAGGAGGGAGAAAAAGAGGAGGAGGAGGAGGACAATGGCGAGCTTGGGGGCCTCTTGGGCCGTCTTTGGGGCCTCTTGGCGGTCCCGGGGGCCTCTTGCGTATCTCGGGGAGCCTCTTGCGGCCTCTTGGGGGTCTCTTGGGGGCCTCTTGGAGGCCTCTTGGGGCCTTTTGGGGCCTCTTGGGGCCCTCTTGGGACGCTCTTGGGGCGCTCTTGGGAGCCTTCGAGGCGCTCTTGGGGCCATCTTGGAGGAGATCTATCAAAGAAGGGGGGGTCCCCAATTAGCGCTGCCCCTCTAGAGTGCCTCGAGTCGCCTCTTGGGCTCCCCAAGAGGCCAAAATCCTTACAAAACCTATGGAAAATCAATGTTTTTTGCTTTCTCGCATTTTCGCTCTTGGAGCCTTCTTGGGCCATCTTGGGAGCCTCTTGGGGCCTCTTGGGGGTCTCTTGGGAGCCTTTTGGAGGCCTCTTGGGCGCCTCTTGGCGTCTCTTGGAGCCTCTTGGGGTTCTCTTGGGGCGCTCTTGGGGCGCTCTTGGGTGCCTTCGGGGTGCTCATGGCGCCATCTTGGAGGAGATCTATCAAAGAAGGGTGGAGCTTTAATTAGCCCCGCCCCTCTAGAGTGCCTCGAGTCGCCTCTTGGGCCCCCCCCCAAGAAGCCAAAACCCGTCCAAAACCTACAGAAAATCATTGTTTTTTGCTTTCTCGCCTTTTCGCTCTTGGAGCCGTCTTGGGCCATATTGGATTCTCTTGGGGCCTCTTGGGAGTCTCTTGGGAGCCTCTTGGAGGCATCTTGGGCGCCTCTTGGGGCCCTCTTGGGGCGCTCTTGGGGCGCTCTTGGGGCGCTCTTGGGAGCCTTCGGGGCGCTCTTGGGGCCATGTTGGGAATATATATCAAAGAAGGGGGGAGCCTCAATTAGCCTCGCCCCTCTAGAGTGCCTCGGATCGCCTCTTGGGCCCCCCCAAGAGGCCAAAATCCTTCCAAAACCTAAGGAAAATCAATGTTTTGTGCTTTCTCGCCTTTTCGCTCTTGGAGCAGTCTTGGGCCATCTTGGGCGTCCCAACGCGTCGCGGAACGCCCCGTCCAGGTCAGTGGGGAGGGGTAAGGGGAGGGGTAAACCCCTCCCCGAAGGGAAAGAAGGGGGGTTGGCAGAGGAAACGCTCTAGACCACCTACGCCCTAAAGGGCTGGTGGGATTAGCCCCGCCCCTCTAGAGTGCCTCGAGTCGCCTCTTGGGCCCCCCCCCAAGAAGCCAAAACCCGTCCAAAACCTACAGAAAATCATTGTTTTTTGCTTTCTCGCCTTTTCGCTCTTGGAGCCGTCTTGGGCCATATTGGATTCTCTTGGGGCCTCTTGGGAGTCTCTTGGGAGCCTCTTGGAGGCATCTTGGGCGCCTCTTGGGGCCCTCTTGGGGCGCTCTTGGGGCGCTCTTGGGGCGCTCTTGGGAGCCTTCGGGGCGCTCTTGGGGCCATGTTGGGAATATATATCAAAGAAGGGGGGAGCCTCAATTAGCCTCGCCCCTCTAGAGTGCCTCGGATCGCCTCTTGGGCCCCCCCAAGAGGCCAAAATCCTTCCAAAACCTAAGGAAAATCAATGTTTTGTGCTTTCTCGCCTTTTCGCTCTTGGAGCAGTCTTGGGCCATCTTGGGCGTCCCAACGCGTCGCGGAACGCCCCGTCCAGGTCAGTGGGGAGGGGTAAGGGGAGGGGTAAACCCCTCCCCGAAGGGAAAGAAGGGGGGTTGGCAGAGGAAACGCTCTAGACCACCTACGCCCTAAAGGGCTGGTGGGATTCTTCGCGGGTTTCTTGGATCTGCGTTGGGCCCCCGTTGCGGCGCCCCCGGCGCCGCACTTGGCGCGCTCCGCGCCCCAGGGAGGGGGGCACAGCGCAAATCCAAAAAGTCCGCGCGGACCTTCGAAAATGCACGGTAGGTTCGGGTCGTGTCGACCAGCGGCGACCCCGCCGCCAGCGTTCAATGTTGAACGCCACTGGCGACCCAGAATCGGTCGACGTGGCGCGATCTGATGTTTGGAAAACGGCCGATCGTTCCAGGATGGACGATCCAACTGGTGTCAGGAACCAACGCTGGGGTCGGCTCGACACGAACTTGCCGTATGCTTACGTACTTCTCTCTCTCTCTCTTTCCAGGCCCGCCTTCTTCTGGGACTGCCTGGCCTTCGTGCTGCAGGCGTCCTCGGCCAAGAAGCCGGCGGCGCAGCTGCTCGCGGAGCAGCGCCCGCCCGCCGTGGACCTGGAGCTGCTGCGCAAGGTGGACCTGGTCAGCCTCGGGAAGCCGCTGCCAGAGGGGGCGCCGGCTGCCGGTGCGGAGAACGGGGAGCGTCGGCGGCGACGATGGGGGCGAATCGCCCGGGGGCGGGCATTACACGCATTCGCCCGGGAGCCTTGTCGAAGACATCGATCATCGGCACCCCTGGATACATGTATTGCTCCCCCTGGGCTATTCGCCCCTATCGTCGCCTCCGGGAGCAGGACGACGGAAGCGGCCACGGAAAGAGTGGGCACGTTTGGAAAGGGACTCGTTGCGGCGGTGTCGCCGCGGGCGGTGCCCCTGTGAGAGCGGAGGCCGCCTGCCCAAACGGCGGCCGCTGCTGGCTTGGGACAGCATTGATTGTTGGGCATGGTATTGATTTTTTCCGTAACCACTTCGGGCGTCCAAATGGGAGGCCCCGCCCGGGTTTCGGATCCGCCGCAATTTTTAGGCGATCCCGCCGCAGGTGGGGCGGGACTGTCCGCCCTGCTCTTCAAGAGCTTCTATGTTGTCGACTTCCGCCGTACTTTGCCCTCGCTGTCGCCGCCGTTCCTCCGCGGGAACCTCCGCCCCACCTGTTCCGAGGATGACACTTCCGCCCTGCGGTCGACGCGTCTAGTAAGGACGCGCGCCTCCACCTAGGGTACCCTTGTGCCCTTGCCTCTGCGGGCCGTCGATTGCCGCTTTCACTGGGCGCCCGCCGCCCCAAAGTCCCAACTTCGGCCGCCAAGGGTCTTGCGTCCTCGCCACCCGTCCTTGATACACGTTTTGACTGTACTTGTTCTCAGTGTCTGGGGTGCATTCCCGGCACAACTCCAAGTCGGAAAAAATTAGCGAAGGTACGGCGTGTATCCGAAGCCTGGGGGGAAGGCTCAGAGGATGGCACTGGCGCCACAATCGGTGGTTGTCTCCACCGGGGAAGCATGCATGATCTCTGAGCTCGGTGATGGTGGTCGTATTCGGGCTTCCTGGGTGACCGAAGTGTTACCAGCAGCACCATCACCCAGACATGATCGCGCCGTAAAATGATCAGGACGGGAGGTTTTTGGCCGTTTTCGGCCCCAGGGGGCCTCGCCGGGCCTCGGGACCGTCAAAGAACGACTCAGGACGAAAAACCGGTCCCGGGGAAAGGGTCGGGCTTTCCAGGGACCTTGCACTGAAAAAATCAGAATTTCGCACGTCTCGGTTACCGGCAGCACCATAATCTAGGATCATCTTCTCCCTGGCGGAGGTCGCCCCCCTGAGATGGTGCTGGTGCCGACTTTCACGCCTCCAAGGAGGCAGCCGAGGGGGTCGGGGCGGTGAGCGTTTATTTCGAGAAGCTGGAGGAGACGAAGAGGAAGACGCTGGGCAAGGATTCGAATGCAAGGGGGGATGGCTACCTGGAGCTGATCGGCCTGGCTCAAAAGGACGTCGACCCAGAGAAGGCGTTCGCCGATCTCCTGCCGTTCGTGGTCGGCAAGCTCAAGGGCGAGCAGGACGGCGTCCGCTTGACGGTCTTGTCCAGCCTGCTGCGTGCGGAGAGCTTGCCGCGGGAACTGTGGAAGGGCTTCCTGCAGCACCTGCAGGCGCTGTGGAAGATATGCGCCAAAGACCGGGAGGCAGACCCCGAGAACATCTGGGGCTCCGTCGGCTCGGCGCTCGTCGAGGACGCAATCCGGGAGTGGGAGGACAGTGATGAGCCCAGCCCGGCGGGCAAGTTCGGCCTGGAGGTGGTCAGCACCATCGACAGCTGCCAGTACCAGAAGACGCTGCACCATCGCCTGGTGGACATCTTCGTGAAGCTTCAGAAGGGGCGCAAGGAGAACCAGCCGCTCAGCGACAAGGCCGCCCGATGGGTGTTCACTCAGAGCCTCGCGGCTGGACAGGAGGGGGTCCCTCCGATCCAGCATTTCTGGCAGGTGCTGGAGCGGCTGGCGCAGATCGTGCCGGCCGGGAAAGGGGCGGAGCGAGCGCTGTGGGAGAAGTGGGCCTTCGTGAGCGAGCGCTGGATGCATGTCCTGGATGACAGCGCCTCCCCGCTGGGGGCCGAGTTCACCTTCGTGGGCGTGGTGGAGCTGCTGACGGCGATCGCCGACAGGGTCGAGTATAAAATGGAAGACGCACCGCTCGGTGCGTCGAGGAAGCGTAACCTGCCTTGGTGGGAGCCGCTGGACTCAGAGGAGTACCGGGTCGCCGTCTCGGCCATCTTGGAGCAGATCGAGTCGCAGGAGATCCCCCCGAAGGAAGCCTCCTCCATGATCGAGCGCCGCGTCAGCGCCCTGGCCAAGAAGGATTAGGGGTGACGGAACCCCAGTCAAATCACGAGCTGCATTATACGAAGCACACGTGCAACATATTAGCACATAGCGAGACACGACGAGAAAGCAGGCATACTCTGGCGATCTTGAAGTTTTGGTCAGTCCTGCACATGGGTGTGAAGCGTTCTCCCCCCCCGTAGCATCACACAAGATATAATATGTCCGCAGCCGAGGGTCCCATCCCCGCTTCTGCCTCGTTAATTTCAGTGTTGTTACAGCACGGCAACTTACTCCCTCTGTTTGTTCTCGCGACGACTTCACTCCGCACTCGGGGACAGCTTTGTCCGTCGCACTAAGCAGAGGGCTGAACATCGCCCACGTTCATCTGCTCATACGGGCACTGTGGTACACTGGTTGCACACAGTAGTATTGCGCGCGAGCCACTCCGGTCCAAATGTGCAACCGACGCGGGCGACGGTGACGAGGACGGCGAGGGCAGGCCTCACCGGCGGCGATGGCGACGGCCTCGCCGTCGCTTCCACGAGGAGCCACTGTCCCGATTTGCGACTGGCAGCGCGGTCCGCCGTCCGAGGGGAGCGGCGCAGCCGACGGCGGCGGCGACAACGCCGATGACGGTGCCGAGGGCGGCGAGGACGAGGGCGACGACGGCGGCGGCGGAGGTGGCGGCGCCGGCTCCGCTGTCCCGAACTTGTAGGCAGGGCCGCCCAGGTCCCTCTCTGCGACCTGCATCGCCGTCCGTGTTCGCCGGCAGGCGGCGCCAGCGGCGCCGACAGGACGACGGCGACGACGGCGGCTACGACAGCGACGGCGACGACGGCGACGAGGGCGACGACGATGAGGTGGACGACAACGACGGCGACGACGATTCCGACATCCCACATATAGTTACTCAGCAACCAACGACGAAGATAATGGCGGGAAGTGCGCTACGCACGTCCATTTTACATAGATTTCGCCGCATGTTGCACCACATGCCTTCCACCAAGTACATTGCACCACATAGCACCACGTGGCTATCGCCAAATAGTTTGCACCACGCATATTGCACCACCTCGTTGTACGAAATATCTGGGGGCACACAGCCTTCACTGTATCACATTTATTGCGGCACCTAGATGATAGTACACAGCTCATACATAGCTTGCTCCACATAGCCGGCAACACATACACTGCACCAACTTAAGCACCACATGGCGCGCGCAACGTACATTGCATTGTCTCCGCCTCCCCAGCTTCATCATGCACTCATCCTCGTCGTCGTTCTCCCATCCACCTCGTGTTCGTGTTCCCTCTTTTGCGAGTGATCATGCTCCTGCTCCAGTTGGTTACCCTCCTCCTCCTCCTCCTCCTCCTCCTCCTCCTCCTCCTCCTCGTCGTCATGGTCCTCCTCCTTGTCGTGGTACTCGAACGGTGTGGCCTTTCCTGCTTCTCACCCTGATCCTTTACCGCGCTCGCTTTGCATAGACATACTCGCTCTACACGTTATACATCGGTCTACCGAACACCATCTTCACCTTCCTACATTCACACTTCTAGTTAATAGCAAAATACCACGGCCGCCATGTCCCGTTTTACCTCGATGGCCATGGCTCCCACCCTCCGTCGACGTATACCGCGACGCTTGCATGAGACGTCACTCGTGAGTACGCTATGGCAGGACCAGCCTATCCGCAGGAACAGTACGTCGTGCCGCTCCACGTGCCGCTTTATATCGTCTCTACATTCGTCTTCAACATCATCGCCTCCATGCACCTCTTCCCGCTCACTGCGGCCGGAAACGTTACTCTAGGGTCCACCGGGCATCCGCCCGCCCGCCAGGACCAGTGGCCCATAACATGCATAACCAGTACCTCATCAAGGACGACATCACCAAGATCAACAAGGACCGGTCGGAGACCCATTCCAGGCATATTCGGACTGTGTCCACGCAGCTCGCGGGCCCCAAAGTGTCAGTGCCCCCGTGCGTGGGGGTAGCTTCAGGTGTTAGAGAGTTGCTCGTCACAGGGTACGTTTGCGGTGTCAGAACGGGGTCCCGAGCTTTCTGGGACTGTGTCTCGGGAGCCTTGGGAAAGGCTTGCAGAGCAGAGGCATCCGGCGACTGCGTCGCCGGTGCCGAGCGGGGATGCAGCGGAGAGCATGTGAAGTGTGTTTTCAACACCCCGATGTGGCGCAATGGAGGGCATGACGACCAGAGCGCCATCATTCCGACGCACCACACTTCGGGACCCGACCGGTCGCTTTATCAACTCAGACCCGCCAGCCGGGCAGGACGGGATCCCACTGCGCACTCCTCAAGACAGCGGTGTAATCAGGGGTGCTCAGTACAGTGACCACACGCCGTGCGAAAAGCATTTCCGTGACTGTGTCGCGGGATGATCCGAGCGCCGCGGGCACTACAGTGGCGCGACAGACGCAGGCGCCCAATGCGCTGGCGAGGAGGAACGTATCCAGGGCAAGTATCCTCGGCGACTCACTCAAAGCCGCTTTAGGATCCGCGGCCTCCAGCACCTCTACGACCGGTGGAGGGAGGTGCATTCCGGATGGAAGGCCATTGGGGTGGGCATGTGCACCATTTTTCCAGCAATGCGCGCGCGAGGTGATGATCTGGTCAGGACTGATTCGGACCTCAACGAGTTTCGTCAGGCGGCCTACGCCCCGTGGCGCCTCGCCGGCATGGCGCGCGAGCGCGTGGGCGAATTGTCGCCGGCTGTTTTCATCCAGGGAGATGTCATCAACGGCAACCCAGCGCCACCGATGACCTTCCTAATTCACAGAATGATGGAGTCAGTTGGGCGAGGAGGAGCGCGTCGCGGCAGTGTCGGCTCTGCTGAGCTTCAACCGACTGCCGCGGGGGCTCGTCGTCAACGTTCCGGCGAGGTTCGATATCCCCCGCAACTGGGCGCAGCAAGCCAGCCAATTCATGATCTGTTACGAGGGGCTCAGCTTCCCCCTGCCGCGCGCCGCTGGCGCGTCTAGCACCCAACTTCCCATGTTCCCGCAGCGCCGCTGCATGGCTAACCCCGCGAACGCGCAACAGCTCACCCACATGGCGGGCTTGCTGAGACGTAGCGGGCGCGTGATAGAGGGATCGCCAGGCAACCTCGCCTCGGCGGTCCACTGCGCCGAATGGCGCGCGCTCGCGTTCCTCTCGGGCACGCCCGCTCTGGAGCGCAGCTGGGGCGGAATGGATCCTGCCGCGTTGGGATCGGCACCGGGCCCCCCTGCGTCCGCCGAGGCCGCGTCTGGAGGCTGCGCCAGGCAGCAGAGATCGACTCAGGTACCGGCGCCGACGCCGCCAGCTCATTCGGCGAGGGAACAGTCGCCGACGGCTACGAGCTACGCGACACTCCCATGGAGCAACGCGGTGCGCGCCTCTTCTGGGCTTACGAGGGCGCCGATGCACGTTGGCGCCGCCTCGGCAACCGCGAGCCCGCGCGCCGCATTTGGAGGGCCATCGAACGGAACGGCAAGTGCAAGGGCAAAAGCTATCGCGCTTTCTCAGCCACCGTGTCCGAGAACGACCTCTGGGAGACCTTTGCTGGCTTCGGGAAACACGCGGGCAAGGGGGGAAGGGGGGTGCAGGACCGCGGGCGCGGGTTCGAGCCGTCGCAGCAACCCTGCGGGCCCAGACGGGGCGCGCGTCAAATGCCGCGAATGCGACTCCGAGGAGCACCCCGCGAGCGACTGCCCCCATGGGCCCCCCCGATGCCTGCGCCCCAGCACCGCCGCCGGCATCGCCCTCGCCACTTGCTTTCTCGGGGCGGCAAGGGCCGCCGGGCCTGGCCAGGCGCGGCCCGTTCCAGGAGCGCGCGCGGTCTGGGTGGCCAGGGGCGCCTCCGTGGCTCCTCGGCCAGCGGTCAGGGGCGCCAGGGCGTCGAGGCTGTCGAAGGAGGTCGCGGCAGCTATCCCCGAGGAGCTCGCCATCCTGGTCAAGTACAAATGTTTCGGGAGGCGGCCGCTCAAGGGCACGCGAAGCGCAATTGGCCCCGAGCGCGTGGAAGTACCGGAAGGGATGAGACGGCAAGACTGTCGGGATCATCCGGCGCCGCGCGGCGCTGAGAGGCTTCCGCGACATGGGCGCCGCAGACCCGGGGACTTCCGCTGGGGCAGCGAAGCGGGCGTCTCAGCGCCCGCCGCCCCCAGGGGCGGCGCGTCGCCCCGACCGGGCGCGCGTTGGCGTCGACGCAGAGAAGGCATCCTTGCAGGGCATGACAGACGTGCGAAAGCAAGGCGAAGCACCTTGAGTGGACTTCGCCCTGCCACCCAGCAACGCAGCTATCCTCAGGCGCGTGCCCGGCCGCCTTGTTTCGACGAGTGGGCCGACCGTTTGCGTTGCGTTGTGCCGGGCACGGACTGCAAGGATGCGCCCCGAGCCCTCTCCGTGGTGCTCGCCCAGGTCACGCGCTCACCTGAGCGCAGCGCCAAATCTACCAGGTGTTGCCCGGAGCTCGAGGTCGAGCGCGCGACGCCCAGCAGCTGCGCTGCCGGACTTTTAGAGGGTTGTTCATGTTGTCCAAGCGAGTCGACGACCTGAAGAGCTCTGGACAAATAGAGCACGCCAACCGGCTAATCGGCCACATCGGGAGCGCGTTCGGCAGGGGGGGCGACTGCGACGACGCCGCAGCGCCGATGGCACCGTGGCGCTCGACCAGGACGAGTACATCGACGCGCGGATACCGATCGGACACGCGGACTTGGCCAAGGCCACGGCTGACGAGCCGGCGGGAGGTCAGCTTCCCGACCCTTTTGCCCCCCTTCCGCGGAGCAGCGGCTTGCGCCGCGCTCGCCCAAAGCCGCGTCGCAGCGCGCATCGTCGCCCTGCAGAGAGCCAAGAACAAGCAGCTCATCCGACGCGCGATGCAGCTGAACTCCGTTGTTCGGGCCGCGCAGGAGGTCAAGGCAGGCGTCGCGTTCCCATCAATGGAGTGCGCCGGGCGACTCAGCGTTCGCAGCGACGGATCTTTCAAGAGGGAGGAGGAGCCAGGCTACGGCTTGGGAAGAGCCGCGCGCGCGCGCCTCGGCAAGTGCCGCCGCGCAGGCCGCCAACTAGGCGCTGCGAGCCGATCGCGCAAGATTGCGTTCAGATCCTCGTTTGGCTCTGAGCTGCTCGCAGCATGCGGCGCAGCAGACTGTGCGAAGGCGCACCTCCTCACGCTGCGCGAGATGGTGCATGGCCCCGCCACTGCCGAGGAGACCAGGAGTTTGAGGGGGGAAGGAGGGTGCGCGATCCCCGCAGACCTCGCCATCAACGACATGTCCGTCTTGCTCCTGGACCCGGTCCGGCCGCCGTCCGAAAACAGCATGGCTGGCCACCTGTGGCGGTTGGCTGACCAGCTGCGCGCCGAGCTAATCGACGACTTGCACTGGTGCGACATTCGGGGCATGGGGGCCGACCCCACGACCGAGGGCAACATGGGCTGAGAGCTAATCCTCAGCGCGATGGACTGCCAGATCCGTTATGACCGCGCCACGGTCAAGTGCCGCGACGAGAAGCTGAAGAAGGCCGCCCCGAGCTCACATAATAGCTCACTTACTCAGAAATCAGAAGATGTCTCTCGTGACTTTGCCACGACGCCGCGCGGAGCCGGCAAGCGAATTCATGGCATCAGCGGGCGAGATCGACGTGTCGAGCACTCCGGTGAGCGGTCTCGCCCGGACTGTGTCTGGGCAGCTCGCCGATCTGGAGCAGTGCTCCTTAATGGTCTCGCGCTGTTTCAGGTGGGGGGTTAGCCTGCTTCGACTAGTCCCGCGGGCTCCGGCGGGAGTATTTCCATTCCTGCCAGTGGCGACGCAAAGCTTTTCTGCGGTTGGCGCCCTAGGGGTCAATGTATCCCGTGGAACGGGGTGAAGCCCGCCAACCCCGGGACCTGCCGAACTCGGGCGAATTTATCCCCTTACGGCTAGACAATGCTTTATGAGAGGGGCGGTCAGTATAGCCTCCCTGCAGCTGTCTGCTAGATTTTTCCAAAGCACGACGGACTCGTTTGAGCATCAGATTCGAACGGTCTGTCTTATTGCCTTGCCTGCTTTTCGCCCTGTCCCTGCCGCCGCCGTTCTGGGGCTTGAGGATTTGTTACCGCGCCCGCTGTACATAGTCAGACTCGCTCTACACACATCGGCTTACCAAACAACTTCTACTCCTACATCCTAATCTATAGTTGGGTCGTACTTGGACTCGCGACCCTGGTCTTAGCCTCACTGTTTCCTTCAATCGGTCCTGCCTTCGTCATTCTCCTCATCGCTTCTCCTCGTTTTGATTGCCCGCTCCTCTTTTCCCCGATGATGGCCACCGCTGCTCTCCTCCCTTTCCCCCTTGCTTCCTTCCTCCTTCCCGCCCTCCTCCCCCGCCCTTGCTTTCTCCCTTCGTCCCCCCGCCCCGCCTTCCTTGTTCCTCCCCCATCCCTTCCTGACAGTGCGTCGTCGCCCTCCTCTTCGTCATCATCTTCCCGCTTCGTCCGCCAGCCGCGCTAAAGTAATTTCTCCTCGGCCTGCCCCCGCTGCTGCTGCGCGTTCACGCTCCTTGTCCCGCGCCTTCTCCCGCCTCATGCAGGTCATCCTCGTCTGCGTCAGCCTCCGCATATCCCTCTTCTACCTCCTCATCCTGCTCCTCCCCCCTTCTTCCCCCTCGTTTTCCTACTCGTGCTCGTGCCGCTTTCCTGTTGCTCCCGCTGCCGCTCTTGCTGCTGAGGGGTCGGTCGGGCAGTCTTGGGAACCCGTTTGGGACTTCCTGGGTCGTCGCGGATTTGCGATCGACACACCACATAAAAATTCTGCCAGTCAGCAAGCGCCTTTCTGAACTTTCTTACCCCCCTGATGGCCCCAAAGAGCCACATATTTTTGGGATCATCTCAGGTCCTTCAGAAATCGGCGAAGAATGTGCCCGAACACTTCTTACAGCAAAACTTCTTGGCGTATGTGTCTACTCTATCTCTGGGTTATCCTGGGTAGAATTGGTCCTTGTTGGGGCATACTGGTTGAGTTAGCTCTGGAAGCGAGTCTCGGTGCCCGTTTGGGCTGTTTTCGGGCCCGCCGTCGTCGTCGTGTTTGTTCGAGGTTTTTTGTTCAGAGTGGAGAAGTCCTTGGCCGTGTCAGGCACTCTCGGGATCTCGGGACCCATGGTGCCATATCAAGAGTGTGTCGGGATTCCACCAGGCTGGCCTCCGCATTAATCTGTTGGACACAAGGCCTCTTGGGGGATCAGCCCCCGTTGCACCCTGCCGCCTGCTCCCACTGGCCCCCTGAACTTGAGCCCACCCTTGCATCACTTTGAATTCCGCTTCTTGGGGCTAGTCCTGCATTGTTTGCCGCCACAGCTGCGCTCATCCACCCCAGGAAACATTGTCCGGGATCCACACGCCATCATAATGCAGGTAAGCCCTTTGTTCAGATTTTGTCCAATCTGTCTGTATTGCGAGCGTAGGTGTGCCCCCCTCCTGTGTCTATAATGTGTTTGTGCTGTGCTCCGGAAGTGCTGTTCTGTTCCGTTCTCCGCGCCCATGGAACGAAGGAATGCAGGAACTGCCTGGGGGACACGAGGAAGTCGTGCGAGTGGAAGGTTTGGGCGCGCCAGCGGTGCGCGAAGAAGGCGCTGTCTTGGAGCTGGAGGCTGGATCTGAAGGCGCTGTCTTGGGTCGAGAGATTCGAGTGGGACGTGCAGAAGCAGCGTAGGTATTCAGAGGAGGAAAAGGTACCCATACCTCTACCTTTCCCTGGTTTGCACCCTTGTTGGGCCTCCTGGGCGGCCCTCGTCGCCACCGCTGGATGCGCCTCGAAGTCCTGGTCAGAACGCGCCCAGGGGAGAGGTCGGGGGAGTAGCGGTACTCGTACCTCTTGCGATCCGCAGGTATAACCCGGTCCCCCACGACACGTACCGCTGCCGCGAGTCCATTGCCGACGGGGAGGTTTCTGCCCTTTCCAAGGTTCTCAAGCTTGCCAAGAGCCAGGCGAACAATCATCGCCACGTCCTCTGGCAAGTGACTCAAGTGGCCGCCCAGCTCTCTGGGCCAAAGGTGCAGGCACTGCTGCAGGATGCCATCGCCGATTTGGATCCGCGCTTTGAGGGGATGGCTAGGGCCATCGGCAGGCAGTACCCTTACATGAATGCGGTGCTGACGAAACAGGAGGAGCAGGACGGGCTCATGCCTGGCCTGTTTCCAAACCTCGGCGGCGCGCCCGGGGAGGAGAGGCCGAATGGGGCGGGCCTTCTCGGGAGGCTCCGAAGGCCTCGGGTCTTCTCCGAGGCCGCAGAGGGCCTCTCGGAAGGCCGGCGTGCTTCTGCGAGGCCCCGCCGCCTTCTCTGCGCAGGCCTGCCCCCTCCGCTTCCATCCTCGCCGAGCCACCGCTCAGACCTCGGGTCACAGCTCGGGCCCTCGGCGGCTGCTCGGGGCGAGCCGCGCACCCCCCCCCCACAGAGCGCCCTCGGCGAGGCGCAGCTGCCCGAAGAGGCCCCCCCCGACGCTCGCGAAGACTTCCGGGAAGAGACGAGGACGTCGGAGAGCGTCGCGCTCCTCTCCTCGGAGCGCCCTCGAGAATACGCCGAGCCACTTCCGAGGCTCGCCTGCCCCCTCGGAGCGCCGCCAGGAGCGCGTCTCTTCGCTGCTTGGGGCAGACATGGGCATTACAGCCCCGGGCCCCCCGCTTCTCCCCCCCCCCCCCATGGCGTAACGCCCCTCCCCCCCCAGTGCGCTCCGGGCACTGCCGCCGTGCGCACGGCGGGGGGGGGGCGTGACATGATACCCCCTCCTGGCCCCTCCCCCCCCCCTATGATGCCCACTGTCGCCAGAAAGAAAGAAACGCGCTCCAACCAAGGAGCCTGCGCGCCGATGCCGCGGACAGCTGAGCTCTCTCGCCCTCGGCAGACGGTCGGCGGGAGATTCGGGCAGTGGCGCGTCTGCTGCAGGAGGTTGGCGGAAGGCTTGTGGACTGAGTAAAGTCGAGCCGAGGTATAAGATTCGAAGAAGAAAAACCTCATAAACATCAGCTTTTGGCGCTCCGCGCGGATTTCTTGGATCCGCGCTGGGCCCCCCAGCGGCGCCTCTGGCGCCGCCCCTGGCGCGCTCGGCGCGCCAGGGAGAGGGTTCCGGCGCGGATCCCAGAAATCCGCGCGGACCTCCAACAGTTTATGTTTACGTGTGTTTTTCATCCTCTCGGGAAGGGTAGCCTGTTGTTCTCCGTGTTCGTTGAATGTTCTTGTGCGTCCTGGGGAGGGTACCCTTGGCTGTTCTGTCTGCTTTGGCCGACGGAGGGTCTCACGTTCTCGAGGGATGTTCTTCTGGCGTAGTTCCGATTGTATCGTGTGGTAGCCAATCATGGGAGGCTTGTGTATCTTCGCAAGTTCATCTTTAGGATTCAGTCGCGTGCGCGAGCGTCTGGTAATCGATGAGAAAGCGACGATGTAGCGTCGATGTGAGTCGATTTAGCGCCCATGAGCGTCGATCTAGCGTCGATGAGCGTCGACTTAGCGTCGATGAGCGTCGGTTAGCGTCGGTTCGCAAGCGCCAGCAATATGGCATGGGAGGCTCCCGTGAGCTGCCGCCGAAGCACCGTTGAACCGATCCCCATCCCCATCAGGCCACGATATCTCGGCCCCGGCATCCCAGCCCCATCCCAGTCTGGGACAGGCCCCTCGAGACCCGAAGGGAGCGGCCCAGATCCCCATCCCAGGAGATGCAGCGGCCAGTGGGGCCGAGGCCATGCCGGTGGGAAGGGGGGTCGACGAAACGATCACTCCTCTGGACGCCCGAAATGGGTACGGAAAGAATGGGTACGATGCCCAACAGCAGTTCCTGTTCAGTTTGGACAGGGCTCGCTGTCCGCGCCGCCGCGGCCTGTGTACATTCGAGACAGGAGGCCGCCTGCCCAACAGCGGCCGCTGTCGGCTTGGGACAACATTTGTTGTTGGGCATTGTACCCATTCTTTCCGTACCCATTTCGGGCGTCCAAATTCAAGCATCGTGGGTGTGGGGGGGGGCGGGAAGGCCCCACCCCAAGGCGGGCGCTCGCGCGCATGCTGTGGCGATCGCAGCGCACTCCTCCTCCTCCTCCTCCTCGCTCCTCCTCCTCCTCGCTCCTCCTCCTCCTCCTTCTCCTCCTCCTCCTCCTCCTCCTCCTCGCTCCTCCTCCTCCTCCTCCTCGCTCCTCCTCCTCCTCCTCCTCCTCCTCCTCCTCCTCCTCCTCCTCCTCCTCCTCCTCCTCCTCCTCCTCCTCCTCCTCGCTCCTCCTCCTCCTCCTCCTCCTCCTCCTCCTCCTCGCTCATCCTCCTCGTTCCTCCTCGCTCCTCCTCCTCCCTCCTCCTATTCCCCGGGGCCCCAGCCACACCCCCTTCCCTCAGGGTAACGACAAGTACCAGAAATGATTTAACAGCTTATTCGCGTCGTGAACCAAGTTCGACCGTCTTGTTGCAAAAGAAGTGTTCGGCCTCCCGGGGCCATCACCGGTACGATGACCGTAACAAAGACAGTTCAGGACGAGAAGCGGGTCACAGGCATAAGATCCAGACCTCCGTGGAGCCACGTCGTGCAAAAATCACGACGACGAAGGTCTTGGGACAGCACCCTGCCCAGGAGGGGCCATCGCGGGTGTGACCGGTGCCTCCCCAACCGTTCGTTTGGCTCCCTTGTCTGCTCATTCCCTCCACGAGGGCGGGGCTTCTCCGAGGTGCGTTCGAGGACAGGAGCTGTTTCCTCCTTCGTGCCATCTCCTCGCTTAGGAGTGTGGTTCGGGTGGGATGGTGCTTGACGTCGAGCGTGTTTGATCCTTGGGGCCCAGCAGGGCCCAGGGGGCGTCGGGGAGGACGGGGGGGGGAAAGGGCGGTGGGGCGATAGGAGGAAGGCGGGTGGGCGCTCAGGGGAAGAGGGGGAGAGGAGGGACCTGGGGGCTTATGGCCAGGCCCTGGGCCAGGGCGGCTTTGAAGTGGGCCTGATCCACGAGTCCCCCTCCTTTTCTTCGGCACGCCACTGGGCGCGCACACCCGAAGCGTAAGAAGTCCCCCTCCACTTCTCTTCCTCCTTCGAGCGAGGCTGGGTCCAAGTGACCGGGGCGCCTCCAGAGGAGGAGGGCCACCAGCCCTCGTGCAGCAGAGGAGTCGGAGTTCTTGTTGGCAAGGCCTGGTCGTGGAAGCAGGAGGCAGGGCCCCTTGGAGCAAAGCCCGATGATGGCCACAAGCGCCTCGCACCCGCTAGCCTCCTAGCTAGGTCGAAGGTCGGATGAGTGACCCCATCTGAGCAGGACGGCTGCTCCGACGTGCTCACCCCGCTGCTCGAGCTCCTGCTGCTCGACGACGGCACCCGCGACGCCTCCGTCGGCGAGATCATGAAGCGAAGCGACTGCCACTACTTCCTCTTCTTCGGCACGAGCTTCGCGCGTCACCTCAGCAATGCGCGCCAGGAGTGGCTGCACCGCTGCCTGGAGCGGCTGCGTGAGCCAGAGGAGCTGCAGGGAGAGCCCGAGTTCTACTCGTACCTGTGGCGCGGCCCGAGGCTGACCGACCTGGCGCAGCTGGGCACCAAGTGGAGGAGAGCGCTGGCCTGCGAGTGGACACCGAGCGTCGCTCCCGCGCTCGCCAAGGTCAGCCACGCGCAGAGGGGGGTGGGGGGGAGGGGGGAGGGCTTCTTCGAAGCACCCCTGCTTCTTGGAAGGCGCGGGCCTTGATCTGCAGATTCAAGGCCTGGCGCCTTCGAAGAAGCAGCCTCCCACTAAGAAGCCCTCCCCCCTCCCTCCACCCCCTTGTGCGCGCCGCCAACAAGGGCAAGGGCGGAGGCAAGGGCAAGGGCGGAGGCAAGGGCGGAGGCAAGGGCAAGGCCGCGGGCAAGGGCAGCGGCAAAGGCAGCGGCAAGGGCACGGGCTCCAGCGGCTCGGGCGAGAGGGGACCGCCAGGCGTGCAGATGTACCTGTGGCACTCCGAGACGCAGGCCTTCTGTGGCTGCCCTGGTACCCAAGCAGTGGCAAAGCGCCCCAGCTCGCTTATGGGCCTACCAAGGCATGTTCTGAGAACCTGTTGTGGTCTGCACGAGATGTTCTTAGGACGTTTCTGGCTGAGGCTGTCTTGTTTTAGCACATCGGGCTTATGTCTAAGAACAAACGTTTGGGGTTTCCAAGAACATTTCGAGGTAGGCCTATAGGGAGGCCAGGACGGTCGGTCCCTGCTCAACTGATACGCCCGTGTTGAATCGCAACCCGTGTCGTGTTCAGAACGTCCATATTGACACGCTGCGTGTTGGTTCGGCACGTGTTCGTCCACGCTTTGGCGAACGTACCTCCTTTTTGCTCTACGTGTTGAGCTCCGTGTCAACACGCTACGCGTTGCGTGTTGCGTGTCGGGGCAGCTAAGAGGCCCTCTTCATCCGGAAGGCCCTGCACGCCAACGACAACACCAGCCTCGTTCTGGCGTCGCGCGCCGAGTTCGCCGACGGCTTCGCGGTGGTGCGGCGCAAGCTGCAGAGGTTTCCCCAGGAGCAGTCAGTGAAGCAGACTGGGGACGGATTCGGTTGGCAGATCATCCAGGCAGCCTGTGCCTTCAACGACATCAAGGCGGAGGTGGAGAGGCGCTTCCTGGAGCAGCCGCCCCCGTGGGCGTGCGACGCGATGACCGACCCGCAGGCGGACGTGCTGATGTGGTCCATGGGTCGCTGCGACTTGGAGGAGCCTGCGCTGAAGATCATCGGGACGTTCATGCGCTCCCACGAGGCCAAGCTTAGGTCGGGCCTGTCCCTCTGCAGGAGTAGTCAAAAATCGCCAACAACACATGCTGGGGACGATGCTCCCACTATTGTGTGGTCCTTTGGGAGTATGGTTTGGGCCATTTCATTAGTTCGTCCAAGATCGGCCTGCAGGGGAGACGTGCCCGACCGAAGGCCAAGCTGAAGAATGCCAAGATCTCGTCGACCAAGCTGATGCTGCAGGCGAGCCCCGTGAAGGCCCGACGGCTCCTCAAGGACATCATGCTGCCGCGGAAGGCCGGGGTCGGCATGCAGACGGCGGGCCTGCGCCTCCTCGTGGACCTGAAGATCCCAGAGCCGCTGGAGCTGTACAGCGCAGCGTGGAGCAAGGGCAGCCGGTGTCGTTCAACCGATCCCCCTCCCAATCCCCGTCCCCTGCGAGACCCCCACCAAACTACCACACCCCAGATGGGGATGCGCCCCTGGAAACCCGAAGGGGACGGCCTGCATCCCCATCTAGGGGGGGTAAATCGGCGGGCTTGCGCATGCTCGTGGATCTGAAGATCCCAGAGCCCTTGGAGTTGTACAGCGCAGCGTGGAGCAGGGGCAACCGGAGGAGGAAAAGGTACCCATACCTATAGCCCCCCGCCCGTTTTCCCCTTTTCGGGCCTCCAGGGAGGCCCTCGTCGCCACCGCTGGATTCGCCTCGAAATCCTGGTCAGAGCGCACCCCAGGAGAGGTCCGGGGAGTAGCGGTATCGGTAGCTTTTGGCTTCCCCAGGCAAGTGCCCGCGCGACGTGGCCGGCATTGTCTTGGGCAAGATAAACAATTTGCAGAGCTCTTCGCCAGAGCAGTCGGAGCAGCTGCGCGGATTCTACACTTTCTTCAAGGACATGGCAGACGAGCAGGAGGATTTGCATTGTGTAACAGATCCCTATCCCCATCCCCATCCCGATTCCCAACAATCCCACCACCCCAGTTGGAAACATGCCCCTTGAAACCCGAGGCAACAGCCCGCACCCTCATCTAGGGGTGTAGATCGGCCAGTGGGGCCCTGGCCACGCCAGTGGGGATGGGGATCGGTGAAACGGTGCTCAGAGGAGTGCATCTATGTCGCGGGCCTGCTGCTCGACCAGCTCGCCGAGGTGAAGGAGTGGTCGCTCCCGTTCCTGCCCGAGGTGGTGGCGGAGCTCGCGATGCTCCCCGGGATGACCAGGAAATCAGGGGCAACGTTTTCTCAAGGGATAGGCTCGGGGGGAACGCATCGACCCCCAATCGCCCACTCATCCGATAGCCCCCCCCCGCCCAGGAGCGTGCGGATTCGCTGTCGGGGGGGCTATCGCCGATCTACCGGCGATGCATCGCCGATTCCAGCTCGATGCTTTCCTCCCCGAGCCGGCTGTCCTCGAACGTTGCCCCCAAGGAAAGCGCTGGACGCCCTCAAGGCCTCCAGCTCCCACGTCAGCGAGGTTCGAAGAAGACAGAAGCAGCATAAACACACACAGTTTCGGAGCTTCGCGCGGGCTTCTTAGATCTGCGCAGGACCCCCCCGGCAGCGCCTCCGAGCGCTCCGGCGCCGCCCCTGGCGCGCTCCGCGCGCCGGGGAGGGGAGTCCGGTGCGGATCCAAGGAATCCGCGCGGACCTCCAACAGCTTACGTTTGCGCGGCCCCCTTGTCCTTCGCGGCCGCCCTGTCCGCCGTGTTGCCCCTCTTTGCACGCGGGCCAAGTCGCGCATCGGTCGGCCCGGATCGCCGCTCGCTGGCGCAGTTTTGCCTCGCCGCTGACGTGCAAAGTCAACGTGGCCTCCTCTTCCTCCAGAGGTTGTGCGGGCCTGTTGTCCACCACCACCACCACCATAAGCTGGAGGGGGAGAGGGTTCTCCTCCTCCTCCTCCTCCTTCTCCTCCTCCTCCTCCACCTCCTTCCCCCCTCCAACTTGTGGTGGTGGAGGAAGACGGGCCCCTCGGCCCCTCGGAGGTTGTGCGGGCCGTCACCAGCCTGCTGGGCTCCGCGCGCCTGGCTGCCCGTGCCTGCCTCGGGTCCTCGGCGGACGCCGCCGGGCCCGAGGCGCAGACGCTGCAGGAGCTGTCGGAGGTGTGGTCGTTCACCACGCTGGACGGTCTTATGCCTTCTCCTCGCCCCCCCCCCGCTGTGCGAGGCCCTTCTTCGCACTCCATGAGAATCCTACGTGGCTGATCTCGGCTGGTGACGGCCACTGTCTGCCTCGATGGCGAAGCGGAGGCGAAAGCGGGAGAGGGGGAGGGCGTGGGGGAGAGGAGGAGGGGGACAAGTGCGGGCCCTCCGCCTGCGGGCAGGAGGGCGAGAACAGGGAACATCCGCGAGCAGGCTTTTGGCCGTCCGGGGGCCGTGCCGTGCCCCGGGGCCGTCGAAAACGAACCTGGGGTGAAGCATTGACCAGGTAGATCCCAGGAGGGCTCCAGGGACTGATTTTGAGCGGAGTCGGCCTCGTCGCCCTACCCTCGCCGATCAACGATTCAGGCAATTCGATGCTCGATGGGCGGCAGGGGTAGGGTTCGGAATTCGTCGAACACGGGGCGAAGTCCGAACCCTACCCCCGCCTCCCATCGACGCAGGAGCAGCGATGGTTGGTGGGGATCGCTTTCGGACGTCTCCACCCAGGTCTGGTGCGGAGCATGAGCGCGATGTCGCTGGAGAGCTGCGATCCAGAGGTGCTGAGGGGCTTTGTCGACTTTGCAATGAGGCTGTTCCAGGATCGGGGGAGCGTAAGACCCGGGTGTGCCGGGACTCGGGTTCGCCATCGTTTTTTGACGACCGCGACTCGGATTTTGACGAGGAGGAGTTTCGTGGGATGTCTGCAGCGGGAGGCCTCGTCAAAATGCAGGCTCGGCCTCGTCATTTTTTTGACGACCTCGTCGGGGATTTCCGAGTCTCCCGTAACCGGGTCTTACGTCTCCCCGACAGGAGAACGCGCACAAGGACCTCAACCAGGGGAGCAGCCTGGGCCTCGTCCTGGCGCTCTGGGTCAAGCTGCTGCGCCCGGGCCGGGGGCAGGAGTGGCCGCCACTGCTGTCCCGCATGGAGGCCAGGCTGGTTCGCTACGGGAAGCTGCGCGACCTCGGGCTCATGTCGGGCAAGGTCGTAGAGCGCACGCTCTCCCTGGAGCTGGGCGCGGAGGATCCGCTACCCGTAAGAGTGGCTCTTCGCCGGAGTGACATTTGGTGCGGGCCCATCGGGGCCCCCCCGACCGCTGAACGCGATGCAGTAGCAGCAGCCCAGGTCCCTGGGTTTGGTCCCCTCGCGCCCCCAAAGCCGCGCACCGAAAGTCACGCTTGCCCAGGGCCACCCCTGCGTGCAGTCGAGAGGAACGCGGGGCCGTGCTCGCCGTCGTGGGGGACTTCCTGGACCGGCTGCTGCTCACGCACCTCGCCGGCAAGGGAGATCAGGGGCAACGATAGGGGGGAATAGGCATGGGGGGGGGACGCATAGACCCCTACTCGCCCATTGATCGCCGATAGGGGCCCGATAGCCCCAACCTGCCCAGGAACGTTCGGATTCACTATGGGGGCCTACCGCCGATCTATCGGCGACGTAACGCCGATTCCAGATCGATGTTTGCCCCCCTATCTCTATCCCCCCCCATCGTTGCCCCTCAGGAGAGCCGGAGGCCGAGGCTTCGGACGAGGCCTTCAGGAAGCAGGACGCGGAGAGGCGCAAGGTGGAGACGGAGGTCCTGATGAAGCATTGGACGGGGCTCCTCGCGAAGGGCTGCCCAGAGCGGGAGTTCGACAGGCTTTTCGGGCGCTGCCCCGAGAGGAGTCGAGGAGCAAAAAAGAAATGGCACGAGCAGAAGAACAGGAGTCGGCATGTTTCGTCGGCGGCAGGGCGGAGGCAGCCCGCTCCAGCGTGTGGCAATGCGGGGCAATCGAATGGCTAGTTGGCTGGCATGCAAGAGAGGGACAAGGACGAGGGCGGCCGCGCGGGGGTCAGAATACGCAACAGGATTTGAAACAACAACTACAACAACAACAACAACAACAACAACAACACCAACAACAACAACAACAACCACAACCACAACCACAACCACAACCACAACCACAACCACAACCACAACCACAACAACAACAACAACAACAACAACAGCAGCGCAGCAGCAACAACAACAAACACAACAGCAACAGCAACAGCAACAGCAGTCAGTTTAAGACTGTTCGCCCATATCTGCTCGAGTGTCCAATAACGCGTATTTCCCGAATCCTCGATACCCGCCCTCTTCGTCTTCGATCGAACCCCTTGTTGGGGGTATACCTTTCTTCCCTGCAGTCCGAGCCCCGGCAAGCGGCGGGGCGGCCACGGACCGTCGGCATGGCCAGCGGCAGCGCTGATCGGCGGGGCAGCCGCGGACCGTCGATCCGACCCCAAGAGGGACAGACAGGGGACCGACCACGACGACGACGACAACGACGTCGACGACGACGACGGCGACGACGACGACGAGCGAAAGCGAGAGCGAGAGAAAACGATAGCAGGGCCACGAAGGACACGAAGTAGGCCAGTATGCCACGAAGTGCGGCAGCGGGGACACGAAGGGAATGCGTATGGGGCCACGAAGAGCGCGAACGAGCGGGGGCCACGAGGGGCAGAGAATGCGGGGCCACAGAAAGCAACGATGGGGCCACTGAGGGTAGCAACTGGGCCACGTAGGACAGTGAGGGGGCCACGAACGGCGACAACGGGGCCACGAAGGGCATGCACATGGGGCCACAACGGGCGCGACTCCTGGGTGCCTGGGTGTCGGGAGCGCGGCGCTTGAGCAAATTGCAGGACATTCCAACGCAAGGGCGCTATTATTCAGTAAAGTGCAAGCAAGTCTCCAGTTATAGCGCGACTCCAGAGCGCCAGGAGAGCGATTCCGGAATAAATTGTAAGGAGGTTCCAAGCGAGAGCGCGATTCCTGAATCAAATGCGAGGAAGTCTCGGGCGGGAGCGTGGGTCCTGGCTATATTGTGACGAAGTTTCAGGCGGGAGCCGTTGTTGTTGTTGTAACCCGGGGGCCAGGGGCCCAGTTAGAGCTTCAAGACTTTCCCTGATAAAGAACAGGGTGCGAGCCCCAGGAAAAGGCACTTCAATCGTAAAAATACACTGTGCATCGGTGGGGGGATCAACAATAATAATTCTTCAGGAGTGAGAGTTCAACAGCACCAACAACAGCAACAGCAACAACAGCAACAATGGCAACATCAACAGCAACAACAACAACAGCAGCAGCTGCAGCAGCAGCAACGAACTCACAAGCATAAGTTTGCGGAGCTCCGCGCGGATGTCTTGGATCGGCGCGCCAGACAAGCCCTGGCGCGCCTCCTTCGGCGCGCCATGGGCGGCACCGGCGCCGGAGGCTCCCCCAGGGGGTCCCTGCGCAGATTTAAGAAACCCGCGCGAAGCTCCTGATGTGTACACAAAAAACCCGAGGGTGTAACAAGAAACCGAGGGTCAAAGAAAAGACCCTCGGTGGTATGATACCCCCCCTCGCGGTATGTTTTTTGGTAACACAAAACAAAACAACAACCACCAACACATATATATATATATGTACATATACATATATATATATATATATATATACATACGCAAACAAAAAAAGGGTTGTTATACCCTAGGTTTACACCCTCGGCTTTTGTTGTGCCCTGGTTTATGCCGCGTTTTTTCCTCAAAGGAACCGCCTCGACCTGGCCAGCGCGGTCGTCGACGCCGCCATCAAGGATGAAGTCGGGCATGTCCCTCTACGGAAAAAATAGTCTGGGGTCGAGTTTGGTGGTATGTTTTGACTATTTGGGGGTATGTTTTGAGTATTTGCCCGTGGGGGGACACGCCCGACCTAAATCAAGGAGTGCGAGAGGGAGCGCGAGGCTCGGGGCAGGCAGCGGAGGCAGCCGCGGCCGCGCCGCGAGGCCGGGGTCCCCGTCGAGGACGTCAGGGTCGGTGCAGCGGTGGGCGGCACCGTGACGAGCTCTTCTCCTCTCTCCTCCTCCTCCTCCTCCTCCTCCTCCTC